TCCTGCCTCAGCCTCCTGAGTAGCTGGGATTACAGGCACGCACCACCATGCCCAGCTAATTTTTTGTATTTTTAGTAGAGATGGGGTTTCACATGTTGACCAGGATGGTCTCCATCTCTTGACCTCGTGATCCACCCGCCTCGGCCTCCCAAAGTGCTGGGATTACAGGCTTGAGCCACCGCGCCCGGCCCTATAATACATTTTTTTTATAGTGACACAATTAGGATGCAAATTATTTAGATTTGTTAACACACTCTTTTACAGTGACACAATTAGGATTCAAATTATGTAGATTTGCCCAAATGTGCTTGTTCTTGTTCCTCCAAGTTCTAGGTCAAATCCAACGTTAAAATACATGAAAGCTTTTGATTTATGAAGTAGACAATTTCAACCTATTCTTATTTGAGGAATATTTCTTTTTCCCTAGGTAAAAAAATTATCCTACCCCCCCAAAATGATAGAGTACCTCTGTACCCGTAACAGCAACTGGCATATCTGTGCTCAATTACATTTGCTAAATGTACAGTCCTTGTAAGTACAATATAAACAAATATCAACCTTCTTTGCCAAGGTCTCCACATGTACATAATATTAGAAGAGTTTTTAAGGTAAAATTTAGAGTTTAAAATATGAACTCTCGTATCTTCTGATTTCTACGCCAATGCTCTTATCCTTAAAGCCACATCTGTCCCTTGGCTAAAGAGCTGTGAATGATCAGAAGACTTTTAGAGCCTATCTACAACCAGTGTTAACATCTGCACTATTCATGATTCAAACATAGTATTTTCAAACCAACTACTTTTACTAAACATGCAATGTGCTGACCACTTTGATAACCGGGCTTTGAGGAGGTATAGGTGTATCACAAGAAATGTACTATCTAATTGAGAAGAGAGAAGGACAGGTAAGACAACAGCAATGGGGAAAAAGCACAGTAATATATGACGAATGTTAGATGTGACTTTGAGTTCAGAGGAGGGTAACGGAGGGAAATCGGAGGCTGTTCCAGAAGGCGCCCAGCAACAAGTGAGACTTCAGCCGGACTGCTGCAACACCCGAGGTGCGCACTCTGGACCAGGATCCTAAATAAATTGCTAGTCGATGGCTACTATTCTAAGGTTACCAAGAGCTCCCCGGGCTCTGCGGACAGGCACAACGCAGGCGCCGCGCAAACCGGCCCCGCCCTACCACCCTTCCCGGCGCTCCCCGGCCCGGAGATCGCAGCCCGGAACTCGCCTGGGCCCGGCTCGGGGCTGGCGGATGAGGCCCCTCCCCTGCCAGGCGCGGGACGGGCGCGCAGGCGCGGTCTCTCCTGGTTGTAGACGCGGCGGCCCGGCCGGGCGGGGTGAGTTGGGGACGCCGCGCTGTGGTCGCAGTGGCGGTACGGTCGCCGCAGTTTCTCGGTCTTCGTTTCGGCCACCTTGGTCCCTGTGGGTGGGCAAAGCTGGGAGAGAGGCTTTATGCCCCCCTCGGCTTCCAGATCCCTGGGGCGCCGGGCGGTCACCGAGGGCCGTGTGAGCGCAGCTCTGCTGGCTCCGGGTCCCGGCGGCTGGCGAGGGGCCGCTCGCGAAGGGCACGAGTTCCCTGGTGACCAGGGCGCACGGCGGCCCCACGCCCTTCCGTACGCCTCCTCGCGGTGCATTTCTCTTCACATCCTCGGGGCGTGTGTTGGTGACCGGAGGAAGCGTGTCTAACCAGGACTTTATGGAAGCGCCTTGTATTGGAAGCTCTGGAGCGGGACTCCTTGGGTCCACATCTCCATCCACCACTGGTTCTGGGACCCCTGCAAGTCGCTTAATCTCTCTTTCTCAGTTTCAAGTGTAAAATGCGGAAAGTAATAGCAACCTCTCTCCTAAGGTAGTTGTGAGGGTTAAGTGGATTAATATCTGTGAAGTACTTAGAACTGAGCGTGATAAACAGCAAAACCATAAGTGCTGCTCATCTTTTTGAGCTTGGTATGTAAAAGGAGATAGTGCACTTTTCTTCTCATCCAACCCCATAAATAATTGCCCAAGAGTAGGAAATTTTTTTTTCTTATGGATATGGGCTTTTCGCATAGCCTGTTCAAAAACAAAGCTTTCTAAACAACTTAGTTGCACATCCTACTTTAGAGAAAAGACAAGTGTTAAGTCATGGTGAAGTTGGAAACTGTAACGTTTGTTGTTTGGAAAACCACATGAGAAAAATGGCCAGAACATATTTGTGCTACAAAGAGTTAACAGGCCTCAGGCTGCTGTCTTAGGAAGGACTGGTTGCAGTGTTGGTGCCTGTTTGGCTTCTGGGAACTTACATTTTGGGTTTGTGCTGAACAGTATGTTTTATGCTGAAATTACCAGCTTCTATAAAAATCTGGGATACCAAGTATCTAATGGGCGTCCCTGTGCAGAAAAATTGTATACATGTTGCTGCATTTTCCGTGCTGGAGGAAGGGTGTGTTTTGTTTGACCCCTCCTGGGAGAGAGGCCGCATAAGGAGCCTACATGTGATTCCTCCAGACTCCATTGTGTCTTTTTCTATTATGATGAGCCTGTATATCCATACTGCATTGTGTAATAAATGTCAGCCTTGAGTACAACTATAGTTGAGTCCCGTGCATCCTATCAAAGCTCCAAATGTGGGGGAGGTCACAGAGATCTTCAGGCACAGTTTTTTAAATTTGTGTAAAAATCAGAGGTGTAAGTACAGTTTTGTTACAAGGATGTGTTGCCTAGTGGTACTGAGCTTTTAGTGTAACCATCACCTGAATGATGTACATTGTACTCATTAAGTAATTTCTCATCCCTCACCTTCCCAGTCTACAGTGCCGAGACACAATTTTGATAATAAAAAGTATTAGAAGCTTTAATAATTGGACTTTTAATTTTGTCTTTTTGCCTCAAATGGAAATTGGAAAACTATAGACAAATGGTTGTTGAATCGTGTTACTGTACCAAATGAGTCTGTCTATTTAGACATATTACATATAGCAGAAAAATCATCAAAAATTGCCTCTACATTACCAAGTTTTTTTGGTACAGTGTTTTGTGTTCAGTGTTTTGAAAAAAGGCACAGGTTGCTTACAGTATGTAGGTCAAATGCCTGGTTTTGTTTATTATTTTGCTAACATCTGTGTTAATGCTCACCTTTATCAAGAGTTTATCTGTACCATAGTGGAAAAATATAACCAGTTTTCTCATAGGCCATTTTCCCTTTGTTAGTTATACCTATCTCTTTTAAGGACATCTAATTTAAATTGATGGAGGTAGGTTTGTAAATTTGGGGGTAGAAAGATCAAATTTGCCATCTGCTTATATCTCTTTTCCCTTAGTAAAAGACTAGATCAGTTTTTGATAAGTGAGTGGGGAGATGGAGGAGTTGGAGGTTTAAGGAAAGTGAAGATTTGAAATGGCTTCATGGATAGTATGTAGGTTGATCAAAAGGTATTGTGAATAATAATGGACCTAGTCTGCTTTCTTATGAGACTTTCTCCCAACATGGAGAAAATGGTTAATTGGGTTCACCTTGGATTGGGTTCTGCCAGAAAGATGATGTCATCCTTAAGGCTGTGCACAAGTATTCTGGTTCACCTCTTTTTGGGTACATGTAATGTTGCATTCTTTGTACGTGGGCAGCCCCTCTCCATGTCTACTTGAAGTCAAATGTGCCATGTGACTTGCTTTGGTCTGTAAAATATGAGCAGATACGGCTTCCGGGTGAAGCTTTAGGAAGCAGCTCTCCATTCGCCATTTCCCTTCTCCATACCCTACCCTGCTGTGAGGATGGTGGGGAGACTTGTTGAGATGCAGCCTCTTGTCACCCTGGACACTATAGGAGAATATAAGTGGCCGATCAGGCAAGCTGGAAGAACTGGGAAGTTGCGATCAGAGAAGGGGAAACTTAAATACGTGATTTTTTTTTTTTTTTTAATAAAGACGGGGTTTCACCATGTTGGTCAGGCTGGTCTTGAACTCCCAACCTCAGGTGATCCGCCCGCCTTGGCCTCCAAAGTGCTTGGATTACAGGTGTGAGCCACTGAGCCTGGCCAAATTAGTGATTTTTAAGGTGGAACTGTAGGGGTGTATAGATGAGGAAGTTTGGAGGGAGAAGGTAGAGATGAAGTGCTCAAGGAAGTCAGAGGCTTTATACATGTTCCTAACCCTGAAGCCCTTAATTTATTGCAATTCACTTCAGTAGTGATGACTATTGGACTTAATGGTAAACTTGAAAGCTCCCTTATTTTGAAATATGGAATGAATAAATCAAGATTTGGAATTTAGTACCGAACTGAAGGATTCATTACCTTGATCACTGAAAAGTAAGTAAGCAACCACGAAAACTGCGATATTGCTTAGCCACCAGGCAGGAGAGTAATAGGTAGGCTAAGCTGCTCTAACAGAGACTCCAAAATATAATGGTTTTAAAAATGTTTAGCTTGTATCTAAAATCTTTTAGAATTAACTGAATTTTTAAGAAATATAAGGGATAGAGGTAAATTAGCACCATTAAGAAAGAGACAAATTCAGTGTGGGACATTATACAACTTTGCTGTTAAAAGAGAACTCTGGGCCTCCAGCAGTGGCTTCAGTTAGAAGCTTTTCAGATAGGTAGAATCTCAGGTCTTGTGCCAGACTTGTTCAGTCAGAACTTATATTTTGACAAGACCGTCAAGGTGACTTATGCACTGGCCTGATCTCTTTAAAAAGCTAAAGTCTTAGTTAAATAAAAGGTTGGAAGAACTGTTCTATTAATAGATTAAAAGATAGTAAAGAGACATAACCAATATAAAGTACAAACCTTGATCAAATCTTTTTTAACAAACCAGCTTTAGAGGACAATTTGGGGTCAACTAAGGAAATTAGAATATGATGGGATATGAGATGATATTAGAGAATTATTAATTTTCTTAGATATGATTATGTTATTATATAGGAGAATGTGTTTGTTTTTAAGAAATACATGTCGAAGTATTTAGGACTGAACTGTCAAGATCTCTACAACTTTCAAATAGTTCAACAAAAAAAGAAAATATATATACTCATAAACACATATGTGACTATACATACATATTGATATTTAGATAAAAACAAACATAGCGCTCTCTTCCTTTCTCCGCCATCGTGGTGTGTGCATTACTCCGTTTCTCGCCGTGTCTTCTCACAAGACTTTCAGGATTAAGCGATTCCTGGCCAAGAAACAAAAGCAAAATCGTCCCATTCCCCAGTGGATTCGGATGAAAACTGGTAATAAAATCAGGTACAACTCCAAAAGGAGACATTGGAGAAGAACCAAACTTGGTCTGTAAGAAATTACACATGTGATGGCACACATATTTATGCTGCCTGTAGGTCACAGTCGTGTTACCAAATCAAGCTGAAAAATGTCACCGCCATCTGGAGAAGTTTGAACAGTTTCCTTTCTGTATCTGTTATGAAGGCATTAGTACAACGCACAGTGCTTCCATTATTCATGTTAAAAAAAACAACAACAAGGTTTTGGTTGCCTGGGTTCAGTAATAAATATGTGAGACCTTTCATTTCAAAAAAAAAAAACAAAAAAAAAATAGCAAATTGTTAATAGGTATGAAATTGGTGGGGCACCATGGCTCATACCTGTAATCCCAGCACTTCGGGAAGCCAAGGCAGGTGGATTGCTTGAGCCCAGGAGTTTGAGACCACCCTGGGCAACATGGGGAAACCCCATCTCTACTAAAAAAATACAAATAATCCTTACACTAAGAATGCAAAACTATACAATTTCTAGAAGAAAAAGAAGAAAAAAATACAAATAAATTGTCTGGTTGTGGTGGTGTACACGTATACTCCCAGCTACTTGAGAGGCTGAGGTGGGAGAATCACCTGAGCCTGGGGAAGTCGAAGTTGTGGTGAGCTAGAATAAGGCCACTGCACTCTAGCCTGGGCAGTTGGAGTGAGACCCTGTCTCAAAAAATAATAATAAGTGTGGAATCTAAATACTGTCTGAGTGTTCATTATACTGTTCTTTTAACTTTTATAAATGTTTAAATTTTTTCATAATAAAAAGTTAGAGTGAAAAAACCCCCAAAATGTAGTTTAAAAAGACAGAAATTTGGCTGGGCCCAATGGCTCATGCCTGTAATCCCAACACTTTAGGAGACTGAGGCAGGTCGATCACGAACGAGGTCAGGAGATCAAGACCATCCTGGCCAACATAGTGAAACCTCATCTCTACCAAAAATACAAAAATTAACTGGGTATGGTGATGCACATCTGTAATCCCAGCTACTTGGGAGGTTGAAGCAGGAGAATCACTTGAACTTGGGAGGCGGAGATTGAAGTAAGCCGAGAAGTACACGCCACTGCACTCCAGCCCGGTGACAGAGCAAGACTCTGTCTCAAAAAAAAGATGGAAATTTAATTTTCTCTTAATACTCCAGTGCTGGTCATACAGTACAGGTAGAGTTGCTTTACCGTGCTTGGCTTACAGCTTCTGTCCTTGATCCAGTGTGGCTCATTCAGCTCCTACCATTTTCTTGCTAGTAGAAGGAAAGAAAGGGCAAGGAGAACTCATTATCCAGAAGCAACACCTGCTTTGTTGATGAAAACTTTAGTTTTGGTCATTCACCTGGACATCATATATTTAAGGGCTGTGCCTTGGTTTGGCCTGCTATAACAAATTACCATAGACTGGGTGGTTTAAACAACACAGACTTATTTCTCACTGTACTGAAAGCTGTGAAGTCCAAGGTGTTGGCAAATCTAGTATCTGATAAGGGCCCTCTTCCTGGTTTGTAGATGGCCATCTTCTCTCTATATCCTCTTGTGGATACAAAGGTAGCTTTCTTATAATAAGGGGCCAGTCACATTCATGAGGGCTCCATGTACATGACCTAATTACCTCTCAATGGCTTCACTTCCAAGTACCATCACTTTGGGGATTAGATTTCAACATAGGAATTCTGGGTGGGGACACAAACATTTATAGTTGGCAAAAGTCAATGGACTATCATATGTGTATACTGATTTAACAAAGATTTATTTGATTTCAGCTGATGTTCCCCTCTTCTTCCTTTGTTGATTTCCCAGACCAATTAAAACTGAAGTCATTTCAGTTTTGATATGCATTAAATAGAATAAGAAATTTTAATTTTGAAGACTAAAATATGAATTTTTTTCCCCTCAATCCCTTCAGTAAATAACAGATGCGGGTGAAAGATCCAACTAAAGCTTTACCTGAGAAAGGCAAAAGAAGTAAAAGGCCTACTGCACCTCACGATGAAGACTCTTCAGATGATATTGCTGGTAAATTGTGATATTTGGCATCCCAAATAGTGTTGAGAAGAAGAAATAACATTACAGTTGACCCTTGAACAACATGGGTTTGAACTCGGAGGATCTGCTTGTACACAAATTGTTTTCAACCAAACATAGATGGTTAATACAGTATTCTTGGGATGCGTGAAAACTGCATACTCGGCAGGCTGATTTCCTAAATGCAAATGCCACAGGACCCACTGTGGGACTTGAGTATGCATTGTTTGGGGTATATGTGAGGAGGTCCTAGAACCAACACCCCCTATCCCCCGCCGTCCCGCCTCAAGTATCTGAGGGTTGACTGTGTATGTTTTTAATTAAGAAATCTATTGCTCTTTATTTTTACTGTTTTCTATGTAAGCATTAGAATCAGCTTGTCTAGTTCCAAAAAATCCCGTTGGGATTATTATTAGGATTTTGTTTGATGTATAGTATGAAGTAACTTAGATTGGCTTTTTTTTTTTTTTTGGTCTCTTTGTCATGGCCTATTAAGACCATGTCACCAAACCACCAGAGCTTAGCAGATGGCTTTTGGGAGCTGCTGGCCTCAGGGCTTGGGTTTCTATTTAGCCTCATGCTTTTGCTTTGGGCTTCTGAGGATTTTCCTCACTTTCTTGCCAGTTCTCTCCATTTAAAGAGATATTTTTAATATATTATTTCCATTTTAGGTGTGCATAGTTGCATACAGCTATAGACACACATATACTCACAGATGAGTGCCTATGTCATGTGAAATCTGAAGAAGTTCTAAGGATTGTGCCAACATCAGCTTCCTGGTTTTGATATTTTACTATAGCAATGCAAAACATTATCATCAGGGGAGACTCAGTGCAGGATGAATGAGACCTTCTTGTATATTTCTTTGTACCTTCCTGTGAATCTAAAATTAGTTCAAAAATTTAAACTGTAATAAATTAGGGAAATCAGGTAAAGTCCTAATGATATTTAAAGAGATAATTCAGACTTCCTTCAATGCAGCAAACTGACTATCCTGAAATATCATTCAGTTTTAGTACATGTATAGCATTGTATAACCACCACCAATCAAAATACTTGACTATATCATCACCACCCTATATGCTGTCCATTTACAGCCACACCCTCTGCCTTGCATTCATTGCCCCTTACAACCACGAATCTCTTCTCTCATTCTATAATTATGTTATTTCATGAACATTATATAAATGGAATTATATAGCATATATTTTCTGGGTTATTTTGTGTGTTGAATCTCTGTGCTTTTTAGTTAACAGCATTTAACACTGCTGAGATTTGCTTAGTAATGGTAGCACTTTGGTGTAGCAAAGAACATGTTCAGATTTTGTTTTATCTTATTCAGTGGGTTTAACTTGCCAACATGTAAGTCATGCTATCAGTGTGAATCATGTGAAGAGAGCAATAGCTGAGAATCTGTGGTCGGTTTGCTCAGAATGTTTAAAAGAAAGAAGATTCTGTGATGGGCAGCCAGTACTTCCTTCTGATATTTGGTTGTGCCTCAAGTGTGGCTTCCAGGTAAGAAAAGTGTTACTGTTACGTGAGTTTGTTTGAAATATTTTTCTTAAATGCTTATTGTGAGTTGAACTATTGGTCATGTATAGGACTTAAGATAAACTTATCCTAATTTAGATAGAAATTTTCCAAGAATGAATTTTAAAATGATTGTTAAGGTAAATTAAAAGGTATGCTATGTTCAGAGAGTAATCGTGTGGTTTCCAAATACTTGGAGAAGGAATTCAACCTGTTTGCAGTAGTTGCCATATCTGGACCTTTACCTTTTGTATTTACTTAGGAAATGGATCCACCTTTCAGATTACTTTTTTTCTCTCTCAAAAAGGATTATTCTGCTTCTTTTGCAAAATAATTTAAAATCTTAAAGTTTCAAAGTTATTGATATCTATGATAAAGGAATTTTCTAATGAAAAGTACATACTTTAAAAAAAATAAGAGGAATCATTATCTTACACAAAATGTCCAGAAGTAAGGCCACTTCAGGATTAGTTAATTTAATGGAAAGAACATTAAAAACTGAGGTTTATTCTATTTTCTTCTGTGCCATCTTCTCTTAAAACCTTCCTGGAAAGATTCAGCAGATTTGACTTCCCTTTGTGTTGCATTAACCAGAATTGCATCTTATTTCTTCACTTACCTAGTGAGGGAAATCACTGTGATTGGTCTGTGTCTCACTAGTTCTCAGTGGGTTGGGGTGGAGTTGTGTACAGGATTGGGAAATGTGTGTTTGCAGGAGGGCACCACTGGCCTGCCAGGATGCTGGGTGTTCCACGGTGTGCAAGACAGAGTGTGTACATTTTTAAATGATGGAGAAATTAACTTTGCCCTTGATTGTTTTAGGTAAATACTATATATTGAAAAGCCTGTTAGCCGGTATTCAAGAAATTATATTTAACTTGCTTTTCTTAAACTTTCTCCTCTGGCCTGAAATTAAAAACAAAGCAAAACTTTTCAGTATAAGTGTGAGTATAATTTTTGATTAATTTGAAACAAACATTTGTAAATCATACAAAATAGCTTTCTGTTCATCTTTAGGGATGTGGAAAAAACTCAGAGAGCCAACATTCACTGAAGCACTTCAAGAGTTCTGGAACAGAGCCCCATTGTATTATAATTAGTCTGAGCACGTGGATTATATGGTAAGTTAAATTTTGTTAGTTCTTGTGACCACTAACACCCCCTCAATTTTTTTTTCTTTAAGCTTTTAAGGTAAAATGTTTAAAGATGTTCTATCAGCTTATGTTTTTATAGCCTGAACACAATCTATGGGCTGCTTCAAGAAAATTAGCATTATCCATGAATATAAAATTTAAGTTGGAAAAATTTTAACGATCTACTTTTCTTTCTTTCTTTTTTTCTCTGGAGACGGATTCTCACTCTGTCACCCAGGCTGGAGTGCAGTGGTGTAATCTCAGCTCGCTGCAACCTCTGCCTCCAGGGTTCAAGCATTTCTCCTGCCTCAGCCTCCTGAGGAGCTGGGACACAGGCACATGCCACCAGGACTGGCTGATTTTTTTGTATTTTAGTAGAGACAAGGTTTCACTGTGTTGCTCAGGCTGGTCTTGAACTCCTGAGCTCAGGCAATCTGCCCTCCTCGGCCTCCCAAGGTGCTAGGATTATAGGCGTGAGCCACGTGCCCAGCCTCTCTACTTTTCTCTAACATTTTCCTTTTAATATAAAGAAAAATTCTTTTTAGTTGATGTTTTTTTTTTGGTAGTGAACTTGCTAATACAGAATCCTATAGTTGTAGAGAAGGAAGATACTTCAAGTAGGTCATTTTTGCAGGGAGAAGAAAAGCTGGGTATTAAGTAGCTCATGAAAACTTAGGTGGTTCTGCTATTTAATCCTGGTTGAGAACCTAGTCCAGTTTCTTATGTTACGTTTCTATGTAGTATTATTTACCTTTTTATGTTTATGAAGTAAAAATCCAGGTACTAAAACAAGTTTTTTTTTGGGGCGTTGGTGGCTCGTAATCTCAGCACTTTGGGAGGCCAAGGTGGGCAGATCACTTGAGGGTCGGGAGTTTGAGACCAGCCTGGCCAATATGGTGAAACCCATCTCTACGAAAGATAACAAAAATTAGCTGGGCATTTGGTGGCGCGTGCCTGTAGTCCCAGCTATTCGGGAAATTGAGGCAGGAGAATTGCTTGAACCCTGAAGGCAGAGGTTGCCACTGCACTCCAGCCTGCGTGATAGAGTGACACTACATTTCAAAAATAAGAAAAAAAAAGCAAGTTTTTTGATTTTCCAGTTTCTGATCAGTATATCATACTGTTTTGGTGGTATAAATAGATATTATGTTGAAATGCTTCCTCTGGGTTTTACAATAATTTTCCAACTTGACTCTATAGACTCCTAAGGGTTCCTTGAATGAATTTTCAGGAGTCCTCAAATTTTCTTTAAAGTAAAAATATTTTGTCTAAAATTAATATAAGGATATTTTGGCTCACAGAAGTGGTATCTTTAATACAGCCATAAGGGTAGGACGCCTGGTGCATTTGTGTTTTTCTTTGTTGTTGTGAGTCCCAAGTACTATTATTGGGGAGAATGAGGAAAAGGACAGAGGAAATTTAATATGTAAATGATGTATTGGAAGCACGAGAAAGAGCAATGTTGCTGTAGGTGGTTCAATAAGGATTTCACTTTAGTGGTCTCAAACTCTGGTGCATCAGAATCTCAGGGAGACCTTGTTAGGACAGATTGCAGCATCTTGGTCTTAGAAATTCTAATATAGTAGTTCTGGGGTGAGAGATAAGGGGCCAGAGAATTTGCATCTAACAAGCTCCCAAGTGTTGCCAATGCTGCTGGTATGGGGACCACAGTTTAAGAACTACTGAATTAGAAAAAGGTAGGTAAGGCCGGGCGCGGTGGCTCAAGCCTGTAATCCCAGCACTTTGGGAGGCCAAGGCGGGTGGATCACGAGGTCAAGAGATCGAGACCATCCTGGTCAACGTGGTGAAACCCCGTCTCTACTAAAAAAAATACAAAAAATCAGCTGGGCATCGTGGCGCGAGCCTGTAATCCCAGCGACTCAGGAGGCTGAGGCAGGAGAATTGCCTGAACCCAGGAGGCGGAGGTTGCGGTGAGCCGAGATCGCGCCATTGCACTCCAGCCTGAGTAACAAGAGCGAAACTCCGTCTCAAAAAAAAAAAGAAAAAGGTAGGTAAGAAGATTGTGAACATGTAAGTTGGCATTGATGTAATGCATTATGGGGCGTTTTTTTTTTTTTTTTTGGAGATTGAGTCTCACTTTGTCACCCAGGCTGGAATGCAGTGGCACGATCTTGGCTCACTACAACATCTGCCTCCTGGGTTGGGGGTAGCTGGGATTGCAGGTGCCCACCACCATGTCCTGCTAATTTATATGTTTTTAGTAGAGATGGTGTTTCACCATGTTGGCCAGGCTGGTCTTGAACTCCCAACTTCAAGTGATCCTCCCGCCTTGGCCTTCCAAAGTGCTGAGGTTATAGGTGTGAGCCACCACACCCAGCCCTAATGGATTATGTTCATAAAACACTTTGAATACTTTCCAACACATGTTCTTAAATGATCACCGGATCTCATGAAGATAAACAGAAAGGTAATTATAATATACAGAAGAAACAAATTAACGTAATATACTAATGAGTAAACTTAATTATGGGTAGTTTTCTCAAATGGAATGTGCTTTTGAAAATACCTTTCCTAACTCTCTACTTCCAAATAAGCACCAAACAAAACAGAACAGCTATCCCTGAGTCTTACCCATCTTTGTAAGTAATCAAGCTAGAACCCAGGCAGTTATTTCCTTCCCCTTTTTTATCTTATTTTATTTTTTAGCCTATTAACAAAAGTAGATACAATGGTATAATGAATTTTCCCATACCCATCAACCAGCTTTAGTTGTTTTTTTTTTTTTCAGCTTTAAACATCAACTCACAGCAAGTCTTGTTTCATCTACACCAGGATTTCTTGATCTCAATACTGTTGGCATTTGGACTGCTAATTCTTTATAATGAATTCCTTGTGCTGTCCTGTACATTATTGGGTGTTTACCAGCATCCCTGGCCTCTACCTACTTAAATGCCAGTAGTGGTCTGCTCTCCTCTCAACAGTTGTCAGAACCAAAAATGTCAAATGTCCCCTAGGTGGCAAAATCACTCCTCGTTGAGAATGTCAGTGATTCTTAACGCTGACATTGAGAATCGCTGACATTGTCTCACTCACTTCTCCCTACCCATGGCAGTTATTTTGACATTGCTGTGTCCTTCTTCTTTCATATCTAATTTGTTATTGTTTTTACCTGAAAATGCATATAATGAATGTCCATTTCTCTCCAGATCCTCTGCTACTATGCTAATCGGTTTCTATTCCTAATGCCCTCCAATTCCTCCAATGTAGTTTATCACATTAGCTAGAGTGATGTTTTTAAAGTGTAAGTTGGGGCTGGTCATGGTGGCTTGCACCTATAATCCCAGCACTTTGGGAAGCTGAGGCGGGTGGATCACTTAAGGTCAGGCATTCGAGACCAGCCTGACCAATGTGTTGAAACTCTGTCTCTAATAAAAATACAAAAATTAGCTTTGCCTGGTGGCACATGCCTGTAATCCTAGCTATTGGGTGGCTGAGGCAGGAGAATTACTTGAACCCTGGAGGCACAGGCTGCAGTGAGCCAAGATCACGCCACTGCGCTCCAGCCTGGGCAACAGAGCGAGACTCTGTCTCAAAAATAAAAAATAAAGTGTAAGCTGGATCATATCATGGCCCTGCTTAAAAAATCTCTCATGGCATTTCATTACACCTAAGATCAACTGCCAAAACTTTCAACTGTGAGGATCTGTATGAATTGTCCCCTGCTTATTTCTCTAGTCTTACCCTGTGCCTTCCCCTTTGTGTTCCGTCCCATGTATTTAAAGACAAAAGTAACTAAATACCAACTTTGTTACCTGATATGCAAAATTTTTGAGGATATTTTCATAATTTTTATATTTTTTCAGGTGTTATGAATGTGATGAAAAATTATCAACACATTGTAATAAGAAGGTTTTGGCTCAGATAGTTGATTTTCTACAGAAACATGCTTCTAAAATACAAACAAGTAAGTTAAGCAATTACTAAAGGAATTTGTGTTAAAATACAATATTTCATATAGGAGTTTATAAATTCATAAAGAATACTTTAGATTTCACTGTGACAACCCAGTCAATAATTTGAATAAAGATATTATGAGTATCATGCATTCTTAGGAGGCAAACGTGTTATATGTTTATATAAGCAATTTGAGAAAATGAAGTATGTCATGTCTAGATCATGGGCTTTGAAGTCAGTCCTAATAAGTTTGAATTTAGGCTCCCCCACTTACTGGCCATGGTCATTTTTACTGCTTAGTGTTCCTATTTATAAAATGAGGATTATAATTCTATTTTATGGAGTTACTATGAGGCCTAGATTTTTTTTTTTTTTTTTTTTTTAGATTTAGTCTTGCTCTGTTGCCCAGGCTGGAGTGCTGTGGTGTGGTCGCAGCTCACTACAATCTCTGCCTCCCAAGTTCAAGCAATTCTCCTGCCTCAGCCTCCTGAGTAGCCGGGATTACAGGTGCCCACCACCACACCCGGCTAATTTTTTGTATTTTTAGTAGAGACAGGGTTTCGCCATGTTGGCTAGGCTGGTCTTGGACTCCTGACCTGGTGATCCGCCTTCCTTGGCCTTCCAAAGTGCTAAGATTACAAGCTTGAGCCACTGCGCCTGGCTGAGATAATATATTTTAAAGGTTTAGAAATTCATGTAAAAATACTTGCATAGTACCTGTATCAGTCTTTTCTCACGTTGCTATAAAGAAATACCCGAGTTTGGGTAATTTATAAAGAAAAGAGGTTTAATTGGCTCATGGCGCTGCATGCTATGCAGGAAGCATGCTGCTGACATCTGCTCAGCTTCTAGGGAGGTCTCAGGAAACTTTCAATCATGGTAGAAGATAAAGGGGAAGCAGGCACGTCTTACATGGTGGAACAGGAGGAAAAGAGAGAGGGGAAAGTAGTACACACATTTGAACAACTAGATCTTGTGAGAACTCACTCACTATCACCTGAACAGCACCAGAGGAATGATGCTAAACCATTTTTGAGAAACCCACTCCCATGATCCAGTCACCTCCCACCAGGCCCCTCCTCCAACATTGGGGATTACAACTGGACATGAGATTTGGGTGGGGACACAGATCCAAACCATGCTAGTACTTGACATATATTTATGAAATGGTGTCTGTTATTTGTAACATAACTGCAGTGCAGTTCTGACACTAACTACTGGGAGTTGGACCAGCCTTCACAGGCTAAGGGCACAGTTGCCCACAAGACTGCCCTCACTTCAGACACCAGCTGCAAGCTCGAGGGTTCCTAGGCCACCGAATTTCTGACCAACTGTCTACAAATTTGGAGGTTCTTGCCATTTCTTCAGGTTCAATTATAATTTGCTAGAATGAGTCAGAGAACTCACGAAAGCCCTGTACTAACAATTATAGTTTTAATACAGCAAAAAAGAATACAAAACAGCCAAAGGAAGAGCCGCATAGGGCAAAGTCTGGGGAAGGTCCCAAATATGAAGCCTCTGTGTCTACTTCGCAGGGAGTGAGGACACTCCCCTCACCCTCCCCAGCCCATACATTGGTGTGCACTAATATGCACAGAGTATTGGTAACTAAGAAAGTTCACTGGCGCTTTCGTGTGGAGAGTTTTTATTGGGGTTTTATTGTGTAGGCATGATTGATTGAATCATTGGCCATATTAATTTAACTCAGTCTCCAAGCCCCCAACACTCTAATCACTTGGTTGGTCTTTCTGGCAGGGCCAGCCCCCATATGGCCCACAGTGAGTCACTTTGTCAACATAAACTATCAAATATGGCCTGAGGGACCCATCATGAATAACAGACACTCTTGTCCCTCTGGAAATTCTGGAGATTTAGAGGGTATTTCCCAGGAACCTGGGGAGAAAAGTCAGCCAGATCCTATATTATACAATAGTAATATATTACATATTATGTATTTTGTTATTGTATGCTTTGTTACCTAACAAATAAGTAATATATAATGTATGTTAAGAATGTACAGGATAGCAGTTTCTTCATTCAAAAATAGTAAGTGCTTCCCACATGCCAGGTATTAATTTTTATTTAACGAGTAGTATTATAGTAAAACAAAAATAGTTTTAACTTGCCTTCTAGGTGTTTAGATTATAGTGGGAGCAACAAGCAAAAAATGCAAATATATAATGACTTCTGGTAAGTGCTGCAAAAGAAAGGAACAGTTTGCAGTGCTAGGTAATAATATAGTAGTCACAGTGATCAAGAGAGGCTAATATTGCAGAAGTGTGGTTTGTTAGAAGAGAGTGGAAAGAGATGAAGTGACGAGGTAGATGAGCAGGTCATGAAGGATACTGTAATGAATTCCACGGTAAGGAATTTTTATTTTTTTGGAAGTGTAATGGAAGTTACTAAACTGTTTTAGGCAGGGGGGTGTCACAGTAATTTCTTCTTTTTATTTTTAATAAAGATAACTTATGTGGCACATAGATTGTAGGTAGTTAAGCATGGGGGTGGGGAGATCATGAAGAGCGTTAAGGAGGTGATCGTGGTTGGGCAGGTGAGAGGCTGGTTGATACTTTCATGGAGAGTGAGTGGATTACATTGCAGTGAGGGAGGGAGAGTGGGAGTAATCAAGTATTAAATCTCAGGATTTTTTTTGGACAGCTGGGTGAATGGACAAGATAATTATGAGTTGCCTTTGAAGTGAGTTAAACTGCTTAGTAAGCGGCATCAGAAACTGAAAAGTTATATAAAAATACAGTTGTAAACAACAATATATTGTTTTCTATAGCCCAGTGTACAGATGTTTTTTATTAGCCATTGACCTAATGAGACAGTAATGGTTCCTCTGGAGGAGTAACCAGAGAAGGTAAACGCAGGCTCTTGGACAGCAAAAGAAATGATTAATTTGATCACTTATTTATTTATTTATTCATCAAACATTTATTGAATTCTATTCTGCACCAGGCATATGAGTCATAGCTCCAATTCTGCTCAAAGAACCAGGAAAATATGGCAGTGAAAGACATGTAATACTACTGGAACTGAAGTTGATCATAATGCTGTCTGCTGAAAACTGTGCATTAAGTTTTGTTAGCCATAATAGAAGATAGGCAGGGATATGATGCCATGGATGATGAAAGTGCAAGTTTAGGAATTATTTTCTCTGGATTTTTTTTTACCTTAGAGTTTCCCTAAATTTAAGTACAAAACTAGTATGATTTTCATTCAATTTTACAGATTTCTTGAATAATTATTACAAGAAAGATGCTAGGAAGGGAGCATGGAATTACAGTATGATGGAAAGTATATAACTTTGAGTTGGGCATGGTGGCAGCACTTTGTAATCCCAGCACTTTGGGAGGCCAAGATGGGCAGATCACATGAGGCCAGGAAGTGAGACCCTGGCCAACATAGTGAAACCCTGTCTCTACTAAAAATACAAAAATTAGCTGAGCGTGGTGGCACATTTCTGTAATCCCAGCTACTCAGGAGGGGGAGGCATGAGAGTCGCTTAAACCTGGGAGGCAGAGGCTGCAGTGAGCTGAGATCACACCACTGCACACCAGCATGAGTGAGACTCTGTCTCAAAAAAAAGGTGGTACATGTCTTTGAGTCAGGGGGTCTGGCATTCAAATTTGACTGTGTCACTACTAGATGTGTGACCCCAGGCAGATTACTGTTTATCCAAGCCTCATTTTTTCCTTTGTATTTTGTCTATATTTCCAAGGTGCTTGAGGGAATAGAGATTGGTAAGACAGTCCCTAAAATCTTTAAGAGGCTAAAGATCTGAAAGAAGATGTAAGATTAAAAAGTAATAATAATACAAGTAAATGTTAAAAGATTTCTGTTTTAAGTAACAATCAAAGTCCTTCAAATATTCAAGGAGGTATATAATGTTCAGCTGTAGGAACTAAAAGAAATCGTGGATGAGCTGGCTTTCAAGCTGATGCTTAAAGGATGAACCCTGGGCAGGTGAAGATGAGAGAAGAAATCATTTCACCTGGTGGGAAGCACTAATATAAGCCTTAATTGAGTTTATGGAACCATGAATAGCACCTGGAGTGGTAGGGCACGTGCTCTTGAGGTAGCTTGAGAGTGGGTGGAGCTTTCAAAGTTTGGGAAATACATAGTTAGTTTAAAGCTTTGGGCAGTTCTAGGGCAAAATGTCATTATCCTTGTGGGTTAAACTACAGGATCTCTCAGGCAAGTTTGATTTAAAATAATATTCCTTGGCATTCTTGAATAAGTTTTTGGATATAATAGTCTGCCATACTGTGCCTTGTATGTGGCTTCAGTATATTTTTATAAGATATTTGGAGAATCAAATATGAAAGTTATTGAGGTTTGTAAGAATGCTGGATATGATTTTGTTGTAATTTTAATGGTAATTGTGAAGACTATAGCAATATGAAAACACCTACATATGATAATTCAAAATGAATATGAAACTGTATATATTGTATTTGGGTGAGAGGGTATGATTTTAGAAGATTCTTTTTATATTTTGCACTAAGTAAAAATAATCATTGGAAGAAAGCCTGTGCTTGTACCTTAAACACATTTTGAAGTTATGCATGACCAGAAACTCTTTTTCTTTCTCTCTCTTTAAAGCATATCATTAATTCTTTTGTTCTTTTCTTCTTTTACTTTTAGGCATCATTATCCTAAAATTAGATAGTATATAAACTGGCAAGCTAATTATTATGTGGTTCCAAGCTAGGGAAATTGTGGGGCAGCAAGTTGTCCCTTTTTACTTGATCTTTAAAGATTAAACTTCTCTTCAGCTGTAGAAATGCCTGTTATCAGAGCACTTTGGGAGGCTGAGGCGGGCAGATCACTTGAGTCCAGGAGTTTGAGACCAGCCTGGGCAACATATCGAGACTTGTCTCTAAAAATTAAAAAAAGTAATAAATACTATGCCATGTTAACACAAATCACATTTTTAGGAAAGATAACTTTTTCAAAACAGAAGTTTAATGAGTGGCATTGTCTTACATTTAAACAAATCTCTTA